CGCGCTGGCGAGCATACTGCCCCGCGCTGAGAACATAAAGAGCAGTGCTACACCCTGTTTTCACTTGTGCCTTTCAGGTGAACGATAGCCACCGATCGACAAGAACAAAACCGACCCGGGAAACTTGGGCAAAAGCCTCGATCCTGTGTATCAATCCGTGAGTCCGTGAACGTGCTGTTGATTTTACAGATATGGGTGAATCGGAAAACCAGAGCGCAGTTGGCAATTAATGAGGAGATGAACTTCGGAATCTAGACGACTGAGAAACCAAAGATTAGGAAACTCTACATATTTGAAAATTTACTTGGTTCACCTGCTATATCGAATGAAAAGATAGTCTAAATTTGAACCGGAAGTGGGTCGGAGCTGTAACTCCCCTACATTGTGTTTCCAAACGATGTTACCTGGTGTACGCACTAACTCGGGCTAGTGGACTCAAATGTTGAATTTGGCTTTCTATCAAGGGATATTGGGTCTAAGACGCACACCCAAAATTTCTCTGAAAACATGGTTCGGAGGAGCGAAACTTTAACATGAAGTTTCAGCATTTGCTTTTATTTATTCGGTCCTTCGTTATCTCGCCATGCTGCTGCAGTTTTGTTGGAAGTTGTTTAAACGTACTTGAGGCTCAGCACTAGCGCGGGATTCATGGTCTAGTGGTGTAGCGTGGGATGTCAGGAAGTCAGCGGTATTCGACGTTCGAGAGGACGGCACACGTCAGTTCTGAAATGTGCAGATATACGGACTGATATTAATGAATCCACACAGTATACACAGCACACATGCGCACAGGTCGGGTGGAACAAGGGAGAAGGCCGGAGTGTGGTAACGACACGTGTATTGAGCGAAACCGAAACCGGAAGCGGAGGGTGTGTACAGGGTCGGGTCAAGGTCAGTTACGGGGGTGTACAAGCGGGGTACTCTCCCCTGTCCAGGGCCCGTGGTGATTCGTCCGTGGTACCTGCAATGGGGGAAGAGAGAAAGGGAGGGGCACGTATAAGGTCATATGAGGAACGGGCAAGCAGATACATTCGAGTTTCAAATGCGTTACATTGCCCCCTCCCGAGTCTGAGCACTGTCCTCAGTGCTCAGAAGGAGTGCTTGTAACAGTTGAACGGGGTGGTCCAGGGCCATGTGGAAGAATGGAATGTAGCACGTCACTCATGTTGCCTCCTGAGTTGGCAACCTTAAGGTGGGTTTGTCCAACCACAGGGTGCCGGTCTGCAGAGGTGTTGGCAGTAGCAACGGAAGTCTTGATTTTCACTAGAGTCGAATTCGGCGAGGTGACCGAAACTGCATCTGTTTGATAGACAGCATCTTCTGTGTGCCCGGCTGGTGAGATGACTAGAGAAACGTCCGCTTTGTTGACCACTGGGTCCAGGTTTATCGTGTCCATACTCGTCTGCGCACTGGAGTTCGCGTCCACCACCACTTTTGTTTGTTGTGGCTTGCTGTCTGCAGCTTGATTATTATCATCGTCTTCAGTGTAAAGTACTGGGTTCCGCTGGTCCACATCAATACCACAAAGAAAAGGAACTTGTGTTGTGTCGTTGGCGGCTTCTTCATGCACTTGCTCCAAGTCATCGGATAGAGTTCGAGATCTTGTGTCCCCTTCCGTCTCCCCTGGAGGCTTTTCGTTATTATCGACTTCATCATCGGGAGTTGAATAAGCCGCCTGTGTGAAACCAAGTTTGTGATCAGATTGCACGACAGGTTTCGTTGAAGTTATCGTACCCAAGTCTGGACACATAACATCAAGTGCGGAAGTGGTGGGAGAAAAATTTTGGACCGGAGAATGACAGTGAAACGTCGAAGTGTTGGAAAGGGGGGTTATGTTGGGTGAGGAGTGAGGGACATCACTCGGCGGTCGTGTATCGAACAGGAAGGACAAGTCATTCCAGAGGATGTCCGGTGGTGCAGACAGCGAAACGCCTGAATAGAGTACACGACGGGCGGCAGGGTCATCCAGATGGGACAGGATAAAATACTCGTGATATTGCGGATGTATCCGTGTAAGGAAAGCCTTCATTCGACCCGACCAGAGCGTGAAATCGTCGCCCAGTTGAAACGTCTCTGGTTCTTCCAGAGGTGGTTGGATGTGGGACATGATCAGCTTTGAAATACCAACCGATTCTCTGGCAATTTCGTCGCACGTGTTCCGGTATGCTTCGCAGGAAGATCGAACGTAAAATTGACTTGATCCCACCTCTGTCACCAATGTAGCGTGGGATGTCAGGAAGTCAGCGGTATTCGACGTTCGAGAGGACGGCACACGTCAGTTCTGAAATGTGCAGATATACGGACTGGTATTAATGAATCCACACAGTATACACAGCACACATGCGCACAGGTCGGGTGGAACAAGGGAGAAGGCCGGAGTGTGGTAACGACACGTGTATTGAGCGAAACCGAAACCGGAAGCGGGGGGTGTGTACAGGGTCGGGTCAAGGTCAGTTAGGGGGTGTACAAGCGGGGTACTCTTCCCTGTCCAGGGCCCGTGGTGATTCGTCCGTGGTACCTGCAATGGGGGAAGAGAGAAAGGGAGGGGCACGTATAAGGTCATATGAGGAACGGGCAAGCAGATACATTCGAGTTTCAAATGCGTTACAGTGGCCGCTGTGGGTTTGCCTAGTGTCTCCTCAATCACTGGGGATTTTGTGAATGAGACTGTTTCTTCACGTGTTTTCTGTTCTATTGCATTTGGAAATGATCTCGCAACCGTATGAGCAATAATAAGGCCCTCTGTATCGGCGCGAACTCAAAGTTAAGCAGCTTTTCATGACCTGTATATGACAAAGTCGTTATTCCAGACGGAGCTAAGGAATTCGTGATAACCGATAAGTTTTTTGTTTTCTTATCATGGCCAGTGCACGCTATATCGGCCACAATCCTAAACCGAACCATCGATGGTGACGTTGATAGAATTTGTGTGTTCATGGGCAGGACAAGCAGACAGCATAATAAAGGGGTCAGTGCTTTCAAGGCCTGGCCTGAATAGAACAGACTGAGGCGGTACACAATTAACATGCTCATACGGTAAATATTAGGGATTTGGTGAACTACGGGCATGCCATCCGACTGGATATGGTAGTCGCGGTGCCATCATCGCGACGCCGTACTTGGGTCCGTAGACCACCCCTTACATAACTATCTCGGGTGAGTTGCTTAGGGTTGTCATTGTAGCTAGTTGCCAACGCAAGCACTTTGGCCGGTTGGCTTTCCAGAAAGTAGCCCTAGATGACGAGGCTGCTACTGCTGTTTAGTATGGGATGCCCACGGATCGATTCCATTAGGCTGCGTGGTACAGGTGTAACGGTGATATTACTGATGAGAGTGCATGCGAGTAGTATATCTTTTCGTAAATCCGCTTTGTGTCTCTTGAAAAGTGAGACGCTTTGTAGCATTTGCTTGCATTTGAGCAACTCTCAATGAATACCCAGGAAGGTTCAGAAAGACGCGTTCAAGGAGAAGATGGATATTCAGTTTCTGCAAACAATATGCATATAAGACTTTTGCTCCCCTGTCAAATAGTCTGGGAGTGTTCAGTTG